AGGAACAGCTACATCATTTGTCAAAATTTCAACTTTCTAGCTAACCCGGTTCACAAGATACAGCCTGGTGACAGACAGCGAAGTCTTAATAGGGTCCCGTATTCACCCATTGGGTACGGAACCCTAAAAAGTCTTTATATTATTACATTGTATGTATTTTTATTCTTGGATGGTTTAATGTTTACTTCATACTGTAAAATTACCGTGTTAGGTAGATACTTATTAATAAAACTTCCTTTCCTTAAAGAATTACTAAATACTTCTATAGATGCTGACTGTACTTTCATCCTTCTAACCAAAAAAGTAAGTTGTTTTTAGACTAACCTTTCTACTTTTTCCTTAGCCCTTTTCCAGTTTTCTGGTATTCTTGGTTTCTTCCTTGCCTTTCGGCAATCAACTGCACGCACATTTTCTTCCATATTAACGCAAAATACCTTTTAAAAGCGAAACAATTTAACAGCAACAACAATACTAAAACTGAGGAGCGGCCATATTGTCGAAATTGAAATGCCGCCCTCTGATTGGCTGCATTGGACCGTGGCAGTTTTGAAGTTGAAAGTGTATAGGACAGTGTCGGTTTTGAATATGAATTTGATATTTTTATCCTGTTTTCTATGGGACAGTGGCAACATTGCATGTCATTTGATTGTGCCACATTATTAATTCATAAAAAATACACGAGATGGCATTCATAGTTCTATTTTGACCTGAAATGGACAGTGGCGTTTTTGCTTTTAGACCCCTCAAATCGGGCTTGCTTACGAAGAATGCTATACTACCCCATAATATTTAAATTTATTTATTAACAACATAACATCACATATATTGTTAACATGGATAAAGATCATTTGATGTTACGAGGTTGTGCTTCAAATTTATTTATGAACGGTATCGAACCTCACGCTTAGCGTACCAAACAACCAAGGATACTAATAATAGTACACATAACTTGTCCAAATGAACATAACATCCGAGGACCTATTCTATTTGTCCTCGAATTTATATTCGCTTTGGTATCATCTCATTTAATATATCAAGCTAAACTATAGTTGAAATTTTGGACAGCTATTATAGTTTAATAGGTTAAATATTTAATAGGTAAAATTTAAAATGTTTAAAATTGAATCAAAATAATGTGCGCCAAAACCAATCTTATCTTTGTGCATGTCTATTTGTTTGAACTTTTTATCTGGTGTAATATTTGTCTATAGACTAAATTGCTTAATTAATAATTAAAAAAATTAATGACATGTAATGATACACTCATGATCTAAAATGAATTACATATACATAGATAAGTGTTGCGAACTCTTTGATAAAATGTATTTGACCTTTTTTAATTATTTTATTTTTATACATATGTCATTATGTTTTTAAAAGAAATAAATTAGTGTCTCTGTCAAACCAACCGCAGCGGGTCATTTCATTGCTCCCTAGTAGCTCATCCCTAATTTTTTATAGATAAGCGATGGAATGGCAAATATGAAGACTACAATAAAATTAACCAATATCACAATTAAATAAATATTAATACCGAAAGCGAATTTACTTTGAAAAAATTACGTATTAAAATTCTGCGCTGAAATGGATAAATATTAGGTCCTTACATATGAAATTGGCGCCATTTACAAATGTATTTGTGTTTCATTAGGCTGTTTGTCCTATTTATGTCATTCAAAATTTGGGAAATTTCAAATCGATTTCATTTTTTTTTATGCTAGATAGGCAAGCACTTGACCACTGATCACCTGATGGTAAGCAATGCAGTGGTATACGTTGGAGCGTACTTGCCTAGAAGGAACCTTGACTTGAAGAGTCCAAAATAAAGAGTCCATTTATGGGATCGAGTCGCTTTCGTCCGTGAGAGATTACCCTGAGTAACCACACACGTGATCCTGGGTGGTGCTAAGGAAGCGACAACATACTGGTGGTAGGCTTAAGCCGTGGATAGTGACCACCCACCGAACAAAGCCGTGGCGCCAAGCGGCCTAGCCGTGTTCTGAGAAATAGAATAGTGCTTCAGATGTCATGTTAATTCGGACGAAGTACTACTCGTCCGAATAAAGTTGTTTCTTACAGAACATAAAAATACTTTTCACAATTTTGATCAATATAACTTCATTCCAAGCTGAGTTAGGTTAGTTATATAAATCAGTTTCAAGGTGTTAGTTATCATCTGTAAAACATAATTTCCATTGGTATAAGGAGTCTGCATGCGAAAAGCGATCTCTGCGACACAATATATAAAAGTTCATCTTTTTCTCTCTCTATCTTATCTCTGAAGGTTGTGATTCCGGGTTTGATAATCTGAGACTTCGGAGATGGTAACATCTTTCAACCGGCATTCAAGCCTCTCGGCTACAGAGTTAATTAAAACTATAAGTTCTCTTTATATGAAGTAGAAACATTACTAGTATTACTAACAATCTATGGACAATGACATGTCTAAAAAGAAATATGTTATTGCGTCGAAGATTCAAAGTTACAATCTTTAATCATTTATAAATAAAAATAAGTTTAATCGGCCCTATCATGAATAATCAGATAGAACTAGTTTCATTAGTACCTCTTTGGATATAGAACCCTAATAGACGTGACTTGTTTATCAAATAGATATACTGAACAACTGCTGTCAATATTTGGAACGTAAATATTCCTTGTGTTACGTATTAGAGAATTGTAACGGTCTGACGTAGGTGCTATGTAACTTAGCGGCTAGTCACGTTCTCACAATAGCTATTCATTGCTCACTGCCTTTAAAAAGAGTTTATATAAATTGAGACACATATATATGATAGTTTATTGAAGCAGTGACAGCCGCTTAAATTACTTTTATGACAGAATTGTGAGGTGACTTATAACCGAATCTAAATACTTCGAAAATAATTAGAATGCCTTATATTTATTTACAAAACAAAGGTTAAATTACGAACACGTTTATCCTGTTTTTTGTTGGTCACTATAAAGAGATAAAATTAAATAGTCACAATATTGTTAAATAAACACTCAACGAAGTCAAGCAGAATATTAACTTTAAACAATACTCGAAACTATGAACTGCGCTATCTGTATCTTACACCCTGGATGTTTCAATTTAGTTCTCTTGAAAACTACAAAAGACCTTAATAGACATGGATCTTTGTTCATATCTTTCTTCTTCCCAGGCTTGTTTGTAGCTAAATCGAGATTACTTTTTATTAAAACACAAAAGCTCCTCTATAAATTTATTAAGATATCCGTTTGTTAGAAAAGCAGTTGCAATTGCGTTAACTCCAGGAATTGATTAGCAATACTCACGTGATACACTTAATGCCTTCGATACCACAAAAAAGGTTTAAGCGAAACCAAAACTCTTATGTTACTTTCACACGGGGAAAAAGGTTAAATGTAATAATGATCTTGGTTAGCTAGCAAACACACTGACACAGACCTTGATCGGAAAACATCCGTTGATAGATCTCGGCACAATCTGTCGAAACAATAATATCATCAGTTTGGTTTTCACCGTTGAGAACTTAAAAGGTTATTCCTTTTTTCGTGTACGTCTTTACAATAGCAACTCTATCCGGTTTAAATAAAGCTTAGTTTATAGCGAAAATAAATTTTTCGAGACCAAATCGAGACTAGGTCTGCAGCGGTGAATTCATATTGAGTAGTAACTTATGGATTGTATTAGAGCAATCTCAATATCTGAGCCGTTGGCACACGTTCAGCTGACCCGCCCGGCCGGCTCTAATACTGACTGCATTTACTAAAGCCCCGATCATTCGTATTCTTTCGGCAAGTGGCGGGTAATAATATTATTCGCGCGGAACGGTTCACGAACTCTCCAAGGAATAAAATTTTCTATCAGCATTTCAGGGTTGTATTTGGGTGCTCGGCTCCTATGAGAGCCCGTATCGATAGCGCGATACGTATTCGATTTCGGTCCGTTTATTTAGAGAAATACAATCGGGCCGGTGATGAATTTGATTGCGGACGCGGGATGGCGGGCGCGTGCGAGCGGTGCGGGCCTGGCCAGCTTTTATCTGTGGATTTACAACAAATTGCTGATTTTAGCGCGCTAGCAAACCAATTAATTCAAAGCACGCCCATCCGCTCCAATAAATATGTTAAAATGTTCCGTGACAATGGCCCGGTGCCGATTTCGCATCGCATTTTCGAGTCACCATTTGTGTGAACGGCGCGCGCTTTTAAATCGAGACGGAATGGAACGCAAACATTGTTTAGTGCACTGCTAATATGAGCCAATGGTCGGTAGTTACCGAATATTATATATCGATAAAAGTGAAATGCGCTTACAACAACTAAAGCTTTGCCAGCATACGCGATTATGCTTAGTTATAGAATCAAACACATTCACAATACGGGTGTAGACAGTAAACGAAAATAAATGCATATTTTTTTTTCTATTAGTGTTTAATATATTATTATTGATAATCACACTTTTATGCTTATCATATTAAAATATTGCTTCAAATAATTATGAGAAAATAAATATTTAATGCTCGTTGTCACGTGATAAACAGCGCGTGACGTCACGCCCTTCTTACTCATGTCAGATCATAGAGAATTCAACCATATGCATACATAGAACGATATTAGTTTTAGAGGGCCGTGACGTCATAGCGATGCCATGACAGAAGCCACTTCTTTTTTCTTTCTGTTGTTTTTTATTAATATATTAGATATATTTCATATGTCGATAGAATAAAAATATAAAAATGTAATTTACACCCTTATTCAGTTGTTTCAATAACAAGTAATTTGAACACCGAGTAATATATTTAGTTACGGTGTAATAAGAGCGATAAAATTATTGTAGCTACTTTTATATAAGTGTACGATATTATCTTGAGTATATTAAACAGGAAAATTACGATGTAATCCACCTATTACATGAATAAGCAAACAAAATATTTTACTGATGATAAAACAGCCGCTCCTCTGGGCTCTGAAAATTATTACTGATGGCAATTTATTGCTCATCAAACGAACGTTCAGCCACCGCCGTGACATTTAGAGCCTTTTTCCTTATGATCTATAATCATAAAAAGTCATAAAACAGTGAAGCGATATTACCGAGTTATAATACCATTCCCACTGATGAGCCGAATTGACTTAAGCAATGGGAATCTTACAGTAGAGAATTAAGGGAAAAAGCTCTATGAGTGCGAAAATAGATCGTTGGATATTTCATTTCGAGCTGTTGTTATCAAATAATCCTATAGGCAGCCCTGCGATTCTGTGAAAATCCAAAGCCGAATTAGAATTCACAATCAATTAAGTGTCCGTATTCACTTAAAAACGCAGTATCCGCTTAATCTTGAAATGTTAATAACGTTTTGTAGCCTAACTGAAGTGAGTGTCGAAATGACATAGAAATACAATATCTGTGACACGTATAATAAATCAATTTTATTTTGTATTTTTATAGAAAAAATGAAATTAATAGAATTTCATCACTAAATAACGAGAATTCGGTCACATGAATGAATTTGAATTCGGGTTCGAATTTTTTACAGAATCGCTCTGCAGGATGGATCAATGTTATCCCGAAGCGAATGCATTTTGAAATTTTCCAGGATTGAAGATTATACATATTGTAAACCTAATCTTGAACGCATCATATACCTATCTATTTTAAAAGGATAAAAAATAATTTCAATATATAATCTTTAATCCAATATGGCTTTTTTAGACGTTGTTTAGATTGCCAGGACTACATTCCCCTTTCTGGATTACCAACTACCCGGTGCTTTTCCTTTTAACCAATTTCTATTAACCAAAACTCTTTCACTAAATTAATAATAATTTATCGTTAATATACGTAATATGATAAAAAAAAATTCACATAAATTTTCAGAAATAGGTTTCAAGTGAACGTTCACAAATTTTCTATAGTTTTGTTCCACTATGCGTACTGGCTGCACCAACGTGATGACACTGTACGCATTATACGAGCAAAGAGAACGCAATGCGTGCCGATGACGTCATAGTGCTATATATAGTCGGCACATCCGTACAATCCATTGCGTACCTTTCATCCGTTTCTGCGTGTGGACACAGTGAATATTCAACATTAAGAGCTTAGTACTATTACACACATTTCTCTCCCTTATAATATAGTGTCCATCTAAGTACAGTTGTAAGAAGGTTTATATCTATTCCGTTGCCATGATTCATCATAACATATCTATCTAACATATAAAAGCCATAAATCAAATTGAAGAAGTAATGTAGAACTTACCGACAACGTGCAGAGTGACGAAGAACGAGCGAACTGGCTGCGTAGACACTTGGCATTCATACACGCCAGCATCTCGCTGCTGCGCCCACTTGATGTGTAGCGTCCAGTCGTCTGTGTGTGCAGAATGAGTTGCTTGAAACCGCTGATCTGATGTATACGTATATCCGCCGACAGTTAAAATGTGCAGGTCTCGGTGACGAATCCATGACACCTGCAACAATTAAAACAGTTTTAATATTTATGAAATCATGTAAATATGTAAAGCTACGTACTTATAAGCAAACTCTAACTATAACCGAATACTGTAACTAGAAGCTTTACTTTTGAATCATTCGATTCGCGTTCACCTCTGGGTTACTATTAATTTTAATTGTAAATAAGATTTTTTACATAATACATCTACAATCAGATGTATTATTCTACAATTAGATGTATTATTCGCTCGTCGTTTGATGAATTAAAATTTAGTACGGCCTAATTGGGTTTTATGTAAACATTCTGTCAATATTTAATTGTTTGAAACAACTACTTTTACTCTTTTTCCTATAAGAAAATGAAGTTCACGCACGCGTCTAAGAAGTCGAGTATAACTTAAGTAGTACACGATTAGAAGATTTTAAATAAGTGAATCAAGAATAGAGCTTCCCCTTCTAGAATACGCGTGAAGCAGTTTCTCTTGCGACGTCCACTGATTGAGATGTGATCGATGCATCTCGATCAGTGGACGTCGCAAGATCGCAGCCTATGAATTTTGATAATAGCAACGTACAATAGTAACGGTTACAGATATTCGTTAGTGAGAACAGTTTTCAAAAGGGCGCTCTTAATTTATAACATACGACAGTTTTTGCCAGATTATTACCCTTGCCACATCTATATTAAAAAATAAAATCAGCTGAGCCTTTCCCTTCCTTCATTTATATTTTCCTTAAAATAAAAAAAGTTGAAATATTACTTTTGTAAGTTTTTGAGTTATTTTTTGGTATCCCTCTATACTGTCTCTCTGCAGAGATTTAGAACTCCTGGGTTATAGCTTAATAATAAGGGAATACCCGCATTTACCTTCGTTTTCTGTCAGTTTTCTAGAAGCTTAGGGATAAAACGATCGGACCAATATGTATAAAATAATAAGAGAGTCAAACAAAATATGTAAATACGATTTGAATGTTAAGTCACTCGCTGTTGTCAAAAGAATATTAGGTACATTTAGATTTTATTTTAGGCTTTATTGAGAACTCTTAAATGTGGAGTAGGTCATTAAAAAAATAGTACAAGAAAATTGTAATATAGGTATTTACAAAAACTTCTAATAACACTATTAGTATTATTAATTGTTACAATTATATCAAAATTTACAAGAATTACATAAGAATTCGCTGGCCGTTTCACATATTTGTATAGTAGGTAATTTACCTACATATAAATAAATATGCATAAGTATAATAACAAAACATTTTTCTTAGAATACACCAGTGGCTTAAGAGCAATGGCTGTTGATAGACGACCGTCATAATACGCACCTAGTGAGATTGGACTTATCCAATCTCTCCATGTAACGCTGCTACGAACGAGATGTTTACGTATACTAACGTATTAGGATAGTCTTCCCCCTAAAACATCTTAATATCCTTCTAATAAATTACAGTAAGAACAATACCAGAAATATTTCCGAGTAACAAATAAAATATTGCTTTCCCAAAAATAACGTTTAATTTCACCGCATCCATTTCATATTTGTAGAAATATATGCTGACATAAAATATAATGTAGGTCTCCACTGACAACAAACCTTTTCAGCGGAAAAAAAAAACACATTTTGCATACTTTCTTCGTTGGGGAAATACCTTGGCTGTTGCGTAAGTACGTGGGTATTATAATAAAAGGACGACGAAATAACGGGTATTTTGCAGGCTCAAGTCGCGAGCTCCGGTTCAGCGTCAAGGATTATCGGCCGCGAGCGAAGGGTGACGGGACGTTTCGAGTATTTTCCGGTATTAACATCAGCGACGTCACCGGGTGGCATTCAAATCACTCGTCCGTTAGACGCGGATGACGCATTCTTCTTATTAATTTCATAATTTTATCAGTTTTGTGACGCTTATGCAGCCTATGAGAGTTCCCATATCGAGTATAAGTGCCATTATGATTCAGTTTCCCACGTCTTATCGCCAGGTGTTGAAAAAAGTAACGATGATCACCGTTCTCTGCTTTAGGAATTTGTATATATTGTATGCACTAAAATGCATTTATTAGATTTATTGTTCAATTAATTAATTCTATAGACTTTCGCATACCGACATCAATTATCCTTAACAATTAATCGAAAAAAAAAATGAAAACAGCATCCAACTAATACATAGTTTCTGCATTTGTCTATCTGTATAGAACGCATTCGACGAACTACATTAGCATATGAATAATGACGTAAGCACCTAATTGGGTACAATAGGAATATACCTCGCTAATAATAATACCATGTATTTTATATGCCTCGTACGAGTCGCTAAACGTTTTATATTCGTAAAGGACCAGTGTTTCGCGTATATTATAATCGTTTCCGTTGGAAAAATGAAATTTCCTTTTCGTTCACCATTAAGGAGCCTGCCTCTCTCTTCCAAGGTCACTATCTTATTTTCCTTATTATGTAGGTATTTCGTGTAGAAACATAGCAACCCGTTTTATACACAAAATCTTAGCAATACGCGGACTGAATGCTAATTTACAGTGTCGCTATGAAAGCGAGAATTCGTAATGACGTAATCTCAGTGAGATGGTGTTGGTAACAACTACGGTTGTGAAGTTATTTCACATGAAGATATTAGATTGTGGACTATAAAGACTTGTGGAGATCCTATTACTAATAAATTGTTTTACTCAGCTTTGCAATATGGAAATAAATTCAAGCTCGATATTCTGTTTGAGTTATCTATCAAAAAGTAAAAGGGCTTTATGCGTAAAGATGAAACAGACTGAAAAAGGATTGTTTGTATATATATATAAATAATGTGATTAGAAAAATTCTAAGATAACTTAAGCCGATGTTGTATGCTGATAACTGAAATTATCAGACATTATAAAAAATAACTTCATAACTTTCCGCGGTCAAAGAAATTTTATCTTTTGAAAAAACAAGGACTGAATAACAGAACCCGTTTATAGTTCGGAGGTGTGGTGGATAAGCACCGCGACCCGCAAAAGTTGTTGCTAAGCAACTTTCGGAGGGTCGGTCACGGGATGGGTGACTAATAACTATCCATAAGGAAGGCCTCAGCCGCATGGGCAGTGGGGAAGCAAAAAGGGTTGATGATGAAATCGAATCTCTAGCCGAAAGATACGATATCTTATCGATGTTTTGGCGAAATTACGTTTTATTTTATTATTTTGATCTTTCTTTTGCTGAATAAATGACATGGCCGGAATTAGTATAGAGCCCAATAAAAATATTCATGTATATTGACATTCTGTGGGTTATATTAAAGTATATAAGTATGTCTTTGCTTTATTACATATTATATGTCTGAAGAAAAAGCTAGAAGCACCATAACAATGTTACAAAAATGAATACTTCAACATTTCTATTATCTCAATATTTAAAGAAGTAGATAATTAAAAATATGTCTAGATGTTACATTATAAGTAAGTATATGATGTAAAATACATTAAATGTCATGAAAAAATACTCTCAAATGCAAATCAAAACAAAATATCAAAGAGTAAAGCAAAATATGTACATTAGTAGGTACATATTTTGCTTTACTCTTTAAAGAATATCTAATCTTCTTGCAAAATACCAAATACAATATACGGCTACACTCACCTAAACATCATATTCTTAAAACACAAAACGTTGTTTATTACACGGCCCTGCAACTCGACAAATGTAATGTCTTTTTTTGTGATAATCATAATATATATACATATTTTTTTACAAAAACTTCATTACTAAGTAGCCATTGTGTTTAGAATATGCGCGTATCTTAACTCAAATAAATTTGACTTTTGCGATCGTAGCTGTACTTCTTTATTTTTGTATAATGCTAACACCTAAAATATATAAATATTTTGATAAAATAAACGTACTATTATGTCTTTTATTCTAGAGATTTGGTATCGTCACCTTAAACATTAATTTATTTTGAACGTATTTTTAGACATTGATAATTACTGTACGTTTTGTTTGATTCCTTGGGCAGGATCCTGCCATGTCATTTGAATTAAGTGACTTAAGTTGGTCATACTGCTATCAGATCCATAATCCTTATGTTTTTAAAGACCACAACAAAGTATTAAAATAGTACGAATCATCGCCATAATATCGCTAAGATGTCGTATCCTATGGCCAGAGTCATGACTAGAGACTACTCCATGGCTAGAGAGTTTGGCGATCGCACCTCTGTCGCACAGTCATCGAATCGATATATCGTGGATTGTTTTGTTGTCTATCCCGATTTAAGTAACGTATTTTTAATTTCATATACATAGAAAGACAAAGCACAATGAAGTTGAAGTTATAACCATCGATAATTATTTTTCAAAGTTATATAGCATATTCTCGAATGGGACGGTGACATCCACTAAGAACACCCGAGATTCCGCCCGGTCCATCAGTACGATATCAGGCTTGTTCGCAGGAACAGTCCTGTCCGTAATGACGGACCGGTCCCAGTACAATCGAGCGCGGTCGTTTTCAAGAACTGGCTCCGGCACATACTTATAGTACGGCACCTTTTCGCCTATGAGGCCGTATTTGAAGGCTAGCTCGAGATGGAGTATTTTGGCTGCTTGGTCATGTCTGTGCAAATACTCGGTATTAGCCAGTACAGGACAACCGGAAGTAATATGCCTGAGTGACTCACCGGGCTGGTGACAGGCTCTACAAACGTCCTCTGTCCCATCCTTCAGGATATACTTCCGGTAGTTTCGGGTCATAATGACCTGGTCCTGTATTGCACAGACAAAACCTTCGGTTTCCCCAAAGAGGTCCCCGAAGCGCAGCCAATGCACGGAGGCTCTCGGATCCACATGACGCTCGTGTAGCGCCTTGTAGAACCTACCGTGCAACTCCTTCTCCCTCCAAACGGCCTCTCGGTCAGTGGTGCTAAGTACTGCCGGTTCTCGCCATTGCTCGGTGGCCAAAGAGAGAGGGGTTAGTCCTACATCACATGCTTTGACATCTCTATGCAACTCACTGGATTCCGATTTCGCCAGGAAGTAATTACGGAGACTGTGTATCTCGCGGTTGTGCAGGGTTTTCGCACTGAGCAGCCCACGACCGCCGCTCTTCCTCGGGATATACAGCCTCATCACTGACGATCTCGGGTGGTGCATCCTATGGAGTGTCAAAGTTGTGCGCACTTTCCGATCCAGGGCGTCCAATTCGGTCTGAGTCCATCTGAGTATGCCAAAGGTGTACATTAGGACTGGCATGACCCAACCGTTGATGGCCCTGACTTTGTTGACGCCTGACAGGTAGCTTTCAAGCACCTTAGTCAGGCGTCCCAAAAAGGCCTCCTTAACGGATTGTTTCACGTCCGCCATATGCACACCCAGATTCTGTGACATACCCAGATACCGGTATGTATCAGTTTCGGAGAGGGTACGGATGGTGGATCCATCCGGTAGGTCCACTTGGGTGGAATCACTTATCCGACCTCTATCCACATGGATAACCGCACACTTGTCCAGCCCAAACTCCATGCTGATGGAGCTACTGAAATCCTTTGTGATTTTCAGCAGCTCCGCCAGCCTCTGAGCATTTGGAGCAAGCAACTTGAGATCATCCATGTAGAAGAGGTGAGATATTTTGAACAATCCTCTCTTCAACTGAAAACCTGTCCCTGGTTTATCCAGCAAAGTGCTAAGCGGATTTAGGGACAGGCAAAACCAAAGTGGACTCAGACAATCGCCCTGGAATATACCCCTCTCAATCTTTATTCGGTCTTCCGCATCCGACAGCTGCACCCCGAACAGACTAAGCTGCGTACTCCACTGCCCCATACAGGTCTCGAGGAAGTTTCGAACTGTACTATCGATCTTGTACAGCTCGAGGACCCTCTTCAACCACGTATGGGGAACCGAGTCAAACGCTTTTTTGTAGTCTATCCAGGCTGCAGAGAAGTTGCGTCGGTTGCGTTTGACCTGTTGGGCCACGACCGCATCGATCAGGAGAAGCTCCTTTGAACCGCGGCTCCCGCCCCTGCATCCATTCTGAGTGTCCACCATGATATGATTGTGCTCAACGTGAGCATCAATCTTAGCCTTCAGAATGAATGTCAGTGCTTTGTAGGTGGTACACAAGCACGTTATGGGGCGGTATTGTGACGGATCCGCGGTATTGGTGGACTTTGGAGCTAAGTGAGTGACCCCAGTTGTTAAGAAGTTTGGGAGACTTCGCTGTTCTAGGGCGTCTTGGAATTGGCGGGCCAGGAATGCGTGGCATGAGCGGAAACTCTTCAACCAGTAGTGGTGCAGTCCGTCAATCCCTGGAGTTTTCCAGTTCGGAGCTTTACGGACCGCAGCCAACACGTCATCCGACTCTATGGTAATGGGGTTCATCGCATCTATCGATGCACACGCTTCCTCTATAGGCGCCATCCATTCGCCCTCTATGTGCTCCACAGGCCGGGACCAGATGTTCCGCCAAAAGGCAATGACATCTGTGACATTCGGTCCTTGGCCAGTGGAGGGGCCAGCTCGTGTCTCCCATGTACGGTAAAACTTCTTTTGGTCACTCCCAAAGAGACGATTCTGGCGAAACCTTGCCCCTCTCTCGGAGTACCGCCGTATCCGACTTCCCCAAGCCGCAATTTTCTGCTTCAGGTC